CTGTCACCTTTCATGATTTGTCACATGTACAAGATGCTATCTGCCAAGCAGCACTGTCATTGCAGGGCTAAAACACCGACTCTCTTCATTTTTTTCTATCTCTATCTCTTTGTTTCCCAAAACCATTTTGTTGGGAGCTAATACAGATATCCTATCGTTCCACTGTTCAGTCACATCAAGCAGTATTGTACAATTGCTACCACAATCCATTTCAAAACATTCTCTTCCTTCTTAAATGCCTTGACATCAGCCCCTTTTATATGCCTGCGTCACCACCCCCGCCGCCCCACCATCGGTCCCCCTTCTCCTCCTCCTGCCCAAACCTTTATTCTACTAGCTGTCTCTATAGCTTCATCAATCCCGGGTTTCATAAATGGGAAAACAGAAAAACATATAACAAAAACTCAAGAGAATCACCCCCAATGATAAAATACATCTGAGATAAACCCCAACATGAACAACACCACCAACAAAAGCACACAGAAATTGTTGAAAATCAGAGAAAGCCCATCATGCATCAGCGTGGGCATCAACTGACAAGGATGTACCTGTTCGTGTCAGGTCTATCATTTTGATTTCCTGTGGTCACCTCTCCAGTGCACTCTGTCTGTTAACCAGTCTCTTCCCATCCCTCTGTTATGGACAGAGGGAACTCACTGGAGGCTTCTTTCCTGTGTAGAGCTCACGAAAGTATTAGGGGATTCTAAAATTCAGATTCAGCACATTGTGGAATGTTAATTATTTTGACTTAGATGTTAAAACTGGAATTAGTAGTTTGTTTTTTTTTAACTTATTTTTTTCTTATAGAATACTATTTGGAAACTAATATTTTAAATGGATTCGTACTTAAACCGCTTCTATCTTTTCGCTTCTTACTGTAAATTTTAAGTTGCGGAAATCAAGGCATATCTTTAACAAAACTGGCAAGGGCACCTCCTATAAGGAAACAGCTCTCCGTCCCCTGCCCAAGGCGGACACAGGGACAGGATAGGACAGAGGCGGACACAGGGACAGAGGCACGAAGAGCAAGCCTCAGGGGGCAGGTGACCTGGGTTCGAATCCCGGCTCTGCCACAGACTGTGAGGCCGTGGTCAAGACCCTGCGTGCCTCTGGGCCTCAGGCCCCAAAACAACGCCGACCTCTGGGGCTGCCTGAAGGACACGTGCTCGCAAATGACAGGGGCTCCGATCACCTAGTCAGTGCTCCCCCGGGGATTTGTCGTCGCAGGAATAAGACAGCCCACGTACAAGATGCTGTGGGCGCACGGAGGCTTGTCCGAAAAGGCTTTGCGGAGCGGAGATCTCTGAGCAGGGAGAGAGCAAAGAAGTGGGGTCCCGTGGTTAGCTTCCCCATGTTTTCAGGAAGTCGCGGTGCCCAGAGGAGTGAAGGGAATGTGTGTGGAGACCCCTGCGGATTGCTCCTTCAGGACACTCAGAACAGAAGGAGAAGGGCAGCCGGACAAGGGAGGGATCAACGGTCTGGGAAGGAGTGGGTAGGGAAGCCAGAGCAAACAAGGGATTACCAAGCAGTGCCAAGAGCCCTGCTGACGCTGGAGGCCATGTTTGGGTAGCACTCTGTAACACATGGGTCACCCTGAGTTCGGCTTTGGTTTCGATATTCCCAGCCCCTGGTGTCTAGGGAGGAGCTGCTGGGCTGGGGGATGCGCCTGCTATCTCATCCAGCCTCGCCTGCAGGGAGGGAAGCCTGCAGTCCCCCGCGTCCTGCCTCCTGGGGATGCGGGAGCAGCTGGAGCTTGGCCACATGCCAGAGCCTCCATCACATCCCCTGGGCGCCTGCCGCCCCGCGCAGCCTCAGTGCTTCCGCTCACCCGCTAGCCGTCTTTGCGGTTCTTCTTCGGTTCCTCTCGGACTGCCTGGCCAGTTGCTAGAGCTGTTTCCTTTGGGGTTTGCTGTCGGCCAGGGTGTTGGTGCCGGGTCGGTTCCCATCATACGGTCAGGATCGTGTTTCCTGTTTCTGCTTATAAGGCCTCCGTTTCACGGCCACTGCAAGATTATAAGCATGTGAGACTTGATAGGAAACCATTATCTTGCCCTGATCCGAGGATACGTGTTGGACAGCAGTCAGCAAAGTTTGCAGTTCGAAACCACCAGCCTCCGTAAGAGAAAGATGGTGCTTTCTACGCCGATGAAGAGTGACAGTCTCAGAAACTCACGGGGCCACTTCCACTGTGTCCTGTAAGGACACTATCAGTCGGCATCGGCTCGATGGCAGTGAGTTTGTTATTTTGTTTGTTTGTTTTTTCTTTGCTTTATTAGGGGCTCATACAACTCTTATCACAATCCATACATACATCAATTGTGTAAAGCACATTTGTATATTCATTGCCCTCATCATTCTCAAAAACATTTCCTCTCCACCTAAGCCCCTGGCATCGGGTCCTCATTTTTTCCCCTCCCTCGCCACTCCCCCGTGAGTTTGTTTTTGTTTTGTTTTTGCTCTTATCCATTTGTACAGCTGGGTCTTACTCCCAAGCTGTATTCTTAAAGCAAACCTTACTGAGTCTCCTACTGTGGTAGATACTTACCTAAACCCTAGTGGATTACAGTGGGTTAGTATTGCTTCAAACTCCCAAGTAGAGAAAATAAACCAGTGTTGTACACAGCATATGAAGTGTAAACTTGCCATAAGTGGACTGCATCATTCTCTTTTTAAAATTCTGTTGGACATCACATTACCTAGCCATGTTCTTCTGACAGGTTAACAAGCCTGCGTGGTCTATTGTCCTACCATTATAGATAAAGAATGGGCCTTAGGAAACCACTGTCAAGGATGACCTAGTCTTTACCTGGTCTGTGCAGGAGGAATGATCAGTCATGGAAGGGACTCCTCATAATGTGCTCCCCACCCCTCCAGCCGCCCTGGGCTTCCCCAGAGGTTCTGAACTGCTGTCCTCTCACTCCTTATGACGTGAGATCATTTCTGAACCAGAATTTCTGCAACTGATGCAAGCATGGCATCCCATGCAAAGGCACAGGAGGAAAAGGCTGGCATGTATAGTCTATCCAATTAGATACACACCTAATTAAAACCAAAGCTGAAGTCATGGTGACCCTGTGTTACGGAATAGAACTATACAAGGGTGGTGTTAGTCCGTGTAGACTACAGAAACAACTCCAGAGACACTCATATGTGTGTTAGAGCGAACTTTATATTGAATAGCAATTTTACATTAAGAAAACATCCCAGCCCAGTCCAGATCAAGTCCATACATCCAATATTAGCCCGTATGTCCGATACCAATCTATAAACTCATCTTCAGACTCACGCAACACATGCAATGATGCCGAATGCAGGAAGATCACAGGCCAGTGGGTGGAAAGTCTTGTGGATCCAGTGGTGGAAGCATCTCAGCACTGGAGTGGGTCTCCACGTGGCTACTCCTGCTCCAGGGCTCTGGCTCCATCAGTGTGTCCCCATGTGGCTTGTCAGCAGGAATGTCTCACAGGGAGACAAGCAGAGAGTGTCTGTGTCCTGCCTCCTGTGAGCTATTTATCTCCGTAGCACCTCCAAATGAGACAGGCTGAACTCCACCCCTTCACTCTTACTAGTCTCAAGTTGGCACCAGATTAGGTAACTACCACAAGGATTTTCTTGGCTGTAACCTTTACAGAGCAGATGGCCTTTCTTCTGTGGCACTGCTGGGTTGGTTTGAACAGCCAACTTGTAGGTTAGTAGCTGGGAGCAAACCATTTGCCCTACTCATTGGCTTACTTCATAGCCACTAGATCAAAATTGTTCCTTTCCAGCAATTGTCATGACAAACTCAGGGATGTCAGAATAGAACTTACTACCCCAGGGTCACTGCATTTATGGTGTCCCCTGCTGGCCTGCAAGGAGCGCTGGTGGCACTGTGGGCTCTCAGTGTCCTCCACTCTGAGAGAGACAGGTGAGGCTCTCTGCTCCTGTAAAACTGTCTAGTCTCGGGAACCCTGTGCGGGATCCTTATGAGTCAGAATCCACGGATGGCAGTGGGTTTCGGGTTTGCAGCCTGGCGTCATCGCCCCAGACACTCACATATAAATAAATGATACAGCCAATCGATAAAGAGGGTCCCGGACTTATGAAAAACCTCCTAGGCAGACAAAACCATTTGATATTATAACAGGTCGTGAGGATAATATGTGAAGAATTTCGAGTCCCTAAGATGAGACTTTCTTCTCCCAGAAAAATGTGCCGCCCTGGAGACTCGCCGTGGTAGATCTACTCTCTCTCTTGGGTCGCCGTGAATAGGAATCAGCTTGGTGGCAGGCAGCTTAAAGTTGTTGCCTTTGCCCATGAGGTCAGGAGAGACCAGTCCCTGGCCATCAAGCTTGATAAAGTCGAGATTCAGCCAAAAAGAAGACCCTTCATGAGAGGGGCTGGCACAGTGGTATCGACAACGGGCTGCAATGGAACAGTGGTGAGGAAGGCACAGGGCCAGCCTGCGGAGCGTCCTTCTGTTGAACCAAGTGGCTCTGAGTTGAAACCCCTTGACGTCCCCTGACCGCCACAAAATTGCTGGCGAGGGAATCCAAACACATTTTAATGTGCAAATCTTATTGTTTAGATTCTCAGAGCAAGTCCCCCTGATTTGATATCGATGCTTGAATTGAAATCTTGTTCAGTTCTTCACTCCCTGGTGTGTCCACGCTGTTTGCGAAAGGGCAGGAGTGTTTGGGCAACCATGTAACCCAGTGAAATGATGGGGTCTAGCAGCACTCCGTACCCGAGTGGGCATCTCTCATTTCTCTCGGGGTCTTTTGACCTTCCTCAGAGTGTGCGTTTCAAGGTATGCAAACAGCAGAGCCAAAGTGTCCTCAACCTCACATGGGATTTTCCCTCCTGTCGCCAAATGGTACAGAGACGAGAAAGCCAGCAGTGGCCTGCGTCAGTAGCCCCCAGAGAACCGAGGATGGTTTATTGACAGCACTTATTTTCTTCTTTGCAAACATGCCATTTCATGAAGATTCTACCCTCTCCCCCCTTATTTGTTTTGGCAGGCTGTATTTCTCAGTGCAAGCTCGTGGAGAGACTGATAGAGAAAAGTTGCTGTTAATGTATCAGACAAATGAACAAATCGTGAATGGATTCTTTCCTCTGAACAAGGATCTGGCATTAGAAATGGCTGCTCTTTTAGCTCAGGTAACTTGCGTATATTCTGAGAGAAATACATTGTGAAGAGACGATATTAATTTCTGCACTCAGTTCACTGTAGTGAAACTATAGCCATGTAGGAACTCTGGAATTTCATGTTTCTGTGAGTAGCACCTTAAAAATCACAGGCATGATCATTACAGCTTGACTCCACATGGTTGACACTGTGTTAGCATTGTTGTAGAAAGCGACAGTCTTCCACAGGGAACCTAGTTTCTTGTTGATTCTGAAAGCGTGCCACCGGGCTTTGCATTCAATAAAGGGATTTGTGTGTAGCGCAGGAGGGCTTAGACCTCTAGGTGAAATGGCCCGATGAACTCAAAAGAATCAGTCTTTTAAAAGGTTAGGGTACTCCTTTTACTTTCCTATATATCCCTATGAAGGACTAAGTGCAGCCTTCTACACACACACACACACACACACACACACACACACACGCACACAGAGTTATTTGTGTGTTTTTCCAAGGAGCCCCAGTGGTCCTGTGGTTTGAGGACCCAACCGCTATCCAAATGATCGGAGTGGTTGGACTCCACCAGCCGCTTGTGGGAAGCAAGCGATAGCAGTCAGCTTCTGTAAAGCTTGCCGCCTTGGAAATCCTACCGGGCATTTCGACACTGTCCTTGAGATAGTTCAAGTTTATTGTGCCAACCTGGGTTAATTGAAGGGTGGAGAGATAAGTAGCTCAGTGAGCCTC